CTTTGTGCGTTCTTTCTGGTGAGCTAGCGGATCCGGTAGGAAGAGCAGGGAAAAGCTCCGGTGGTTCTTTGTATTTTTCTGTGTAATTGTCGCAAATAAACACCCATTTATCAATTATCTTGGGTTTAGTGATATAGTTATATCCTCACCTTCAGCTCACAGTATCAAAACTGGAGCATCTCAAAGTTCTTTTTCAATTAACAAACTGGCTACAGTTCTCTATGACAAGAACTGCATAGCCTCCTTCACCCGAGGCCCTAACATAATCTCTATTGTTACAGAAATGGAGCTGAAGGGGTAAGCATTAGGAAACCCCCCAAGGAAGTGTCAACAGCACTTAAAGGAGACTGAGCCCAGTTCTCCTCAACCCTCATGGGACAACACAGCCCCAGGGTGCCACGTGCTGGACCAGCCTCATACTTTTGGGGTGTGGGGGTTTGTGGGGTGCAAGAAGTCTTGATCTTAATAAGGCTTCCCACACATCCATCAGAATGGTTGTCACATTCTGTCAGAAACCTCATGTGGGGACCCTGAGGGGGTTTGGCTTAGCAAGAAAATTAAGCAAATACATGATTGAGCAAAGCATATTCAGGAGTTGTACAGGGCTGCACAGCCTGGCTTCCATTAGGAAAGCGGAGAGTAACACCATCAAGGCACATCCCAAGCCTGGGCACTGAACCTTGTGCTCACTGGGGGCAGCTGGCCAGAGGGCTGCTGTGCAGTATCCTGCCATAGCAGTGCAGACTGGCTACACGATGGGAAAGAGAGCTGTGATGGTCTGTTATCAGTGTTGGCTCTTCCTGGAGGTTCTGGAAGCACTGGGCCATGTCTGTCTATTCCTGGGATGGAGGCCATAGCTCCAATTTGAGTTCAACTCCTACCTCCACACAGGACCCTTAATCACATCCAAAGAGTCCCCTTTTCGTGCAAGGTTGCATGCTCAGAGGCTCTGGAGGTCTTAGGGGAACCTTGTTCCTCCTCCCCGGGAGCATCATCTAAGCTGAAGTGCCTGAGATGGTGAGATTGCAGAGCTGAAGCTCTGTCACCACAGGCCACACTGGGAAAGGGAGGGATGTTAGAGGAAGCCTGGAAGACCCAAGTCACCAAAGTCCCTCCCTCTTGTCCACCATCTCAGTCATCAAGAAAGCTTGCAGGTGTTCCCTGTAGTCACCCCTGCTTATAGAACTGAGGCTAGGAAATGTTGAGTTACAAGGTCACACAACTCATGGAGACTTGTCACAGGAGTGAGATCTGTGAGGCCTGAATGTCCGTCTTCGTCATCCCTTTCCCACAGGGACAACCTAGTGAAAGGAGATGGAGACAGGTAAAGTGGAGGGTCACCATGCCTGTGAGCCCCCATCACCCCATTGGTTTTGAGCAAGTGGGGAGTGTACAGACTGGATGCCTACATTCTGTCGACCCTGGTCCTCACAGGACCTCTTGGGTCATGAGCTATGGTGATGCCAGAGGCAGAGTTAAATCTTGATACAGTGGCCCCTGTGTGTGTGTGCTCTGTGTGGTGGTGCGTTCTCCAGATGTTCAGGGCTGTGAGATCGCTTCCCTCCAGGAAGGAACAGCACAGCACAGCTCTGCCAAATAAAAGAAGAAAGAGCCAAAGCAGGATTGACTAAGTGTAAACATGTCCACAACCCCAGAAGATAAAGAGTGCTCTGAAGCCAAGGGTAAAAGACAATGGAAACCACAGCCAGCCTGTGCCATCCCTCTACCTTGAGGGGAAAAGACATACCTGTGACTCCAGGGTTCCAAATCAGAGTCACCATACAGACTCCATATACTTGGCCCCAAAGAAACAGGGTTTCAAATAAAATAGGGAGTTGTGTGGACTCTGGACAGCTGTTCTGGTCTAGGCACACTCTGGAAGAACTCCGCCTCTCTACTTTGCTCCCCGTAATGGCTGGGCCAGGTCCCTGGAGCAGCCAGCCTTAGGGATGGAAGGAGTGAATGGAAGGTTTCCCAGGACCACTTCCATGACCAGACAGTGACTGACTGACTGACTGACAAGGAAGAACCACTATTCAAGGAGCTAAGCAGCTCCTCCAGCAAGGCCACACCTCCTTATCCTTTTTAAACAGTTCCACTAACTGGGGACCAAGCACATGAGCCCATGACAGCCTTTTTCATTCAAACCATCACAGTGTGTGCTACTTTTCTCATTGCTCAGACAAAATGCATGAGAAAAGCAACTTAAGGAAGATTTATTTGGGCTCTTGGTTTCACAGGGCAAGGTTCCGCAAGGTGGGAAGGCCATAGTGGTAGGAGTAGTTAGTCCATTGTAATGGGCTCTTATGTTCACATGAAAGAACAAGAGGGCCAAGGACTTGAGACATCACAACCAGTTAACCAGTTGACAAACTGAGAGCTGAGGTGAGCAGAAACATGGAGGGAGAAAAGCTATAGGACATGTGGGCCCCAAGCCAAGCTGGGCAGTAAGCATCTTCAAGGGCAGAAACACCAAGCCCTAGTGTCCACAGAGAGAGCAGCAGGTGACTCTCAGTAGATCAAGTCGGCATACATACCAACAGCCTGTCAGAAGAGATGCGTGCTTCCAAGCGGAAGCTCCAGCTCGGCCATTTTACATGCGGGAGCTCCCGCTCAGTAAGAGGCTATGAAGTGCCTAGAATCTATGAAAGGCCAACCATCATGAGAGCAAGTCATCAGAGGAGTCATAGCCGAGTCATAGCCGGAGCTGGCGCCATGTGTCAGACAGCAGATGGCACACAGTACCTGCAGCAAAACAGAGAGCAGAGGACGAGAGAGACAAAACCTGTGGCAGGTAAGGTCTCCCGGAGAAATAAATACTACATGCAGGGTGCAGATCTGAACGCAAGGGTTTTGGTTTGAATCAGGGATTCTCCTGACAAACTTATCAGAAGTTAGGCACCTAGAGATGGGGGTAAGTGACAGTGGAACCAATGTGAACAGTGGACAGAGTGTGTAAGAGCGTGGGCTCTGTCAAACACGCCCCTGCTGGTCTTTATAGTCTCAGGAGCAGAAGAGGAAGGGGTGTGTGTGTGTGTGTGTGTGTGTGTGTGTGTGTGTGTGTGAGAGAGAGAGAGAGAGAGAGAGAGAGAGAGAGAGAGGGAGAGAGAGAGAGACAGAGACAGAGAGAGACAGAGAGAGAGAGACAGAGACAGAGAGAGAGAAGAGGTATTTGTGTGACCATACTTAACATTTAACCAAAACTAAAGACAACAAAATAAAGACTGAAGAACCGTAGGATACCTGAGGCAGAATCAATAAATACAAACAACACAACTAAAGCAGCCCGGACTGTGGTTTTCCCGCTAAAGGCAAACCAGGAAGGTGAGTGAGCAGGAGGAGGACTTAGCTGCAGCAGGCTCTTGTCTGCAGGGTGCTTCAGGCTTCATGCTGGGGACAGCAGGACCCAGAGACAATACCGGAAGCAGAGTCTCCGCCCCTCCCCTCCCCTCCCCCTCTCCTCCTATTTCTTTCCTCCCCCACTTCACTTAACTGACTCCCCCCCCCCCATTTCAGCCACAAAAAAA